CAAAGTGATCGAGAAGATAGTAAAAAAGCGTTTAATACGTCTGTTGCAATCGAAGGAACTTCTGACACCGGCACAACACGGATTCAGGATGGGATATTCTTGTGTTACCAACTTACTTGTGGCGAGACAGGAATGGTTGCAAGCACTGAACCGGGGAAAGTCCGTCGACGTAATCTACATCGACTTCAGCAAAGCATTCGACAAAGTTAATCATGAAGTGCTTCTAGACAGATTAAGGTCGTGTGGTGTCGGAGGATCGTTACATCGATGGATCCATGAATTTCTCGTTGGAAGAAAGTGGAGAGTACAGGTGGACGGCCATCCAACCGATTGGTATCCCTCGACTAGTGGTGTACCTCAAGGTACGGTACTGGGACCCACTCTGTTTCTCATCCACCTCAACGAGCTGTCCCAGCTTCTACGGTCGCCGTGTGAACTGTTTGCGGATGACCTCAAAATTTGGCGAGAAATTGATACTCTCGATGACTGTGACATTCTCCAACAAGACCTCGACCGCCTCGCAGTATGGTCTGCTGAAGTCCACCTACCGGTCAACCCGGCAAAGTCCCTATTCATTAATCTCGGGAAGGCTGTTCACGACCGAACGTACACCCTAGACGGCCAACCACTGCATCCCACACCTTCCGTGAAAGACCTAGGTGTACTCTCACGCTGCGACTTGAAGTCCGTCGACAACACCAACAAACTGTATCGAAACGGACTGCGCATGCTCTGGGCGCTGAAGCGCAGCTTCTGCATTTGGTCTGAGGACGTCGCCACTCGCCTCTTCTCTTCCATCGTCAGACCAATGCTAGAGTACGGCTCGCCTGCATACTGTCCGATCACTCGCGGCGAAGCGCAAAAGATCGAACGAGTACAACACGTCGCCACCAAGTTGATCCCCAGCTTGAGAGGCTTATCTTATGAAAACCGGTGCATGAAACTTGGGCTCTACACCTTGTCGTATCGCCGTGTTCGAGTGGATCTTATCATGACCTACTGTATTTTACATCTCGGTCATTTCCCCATGCTGAGGTCGTTACTCCACTTGCGAGTACCATGCACCACACGTGGGCACAGGTACAAACTCGTGGTACCTGATCTGACGAAAATCCCACACCCCTGTGTTTCGAGCGGAGGGTTGTGCACACCTGGAACAGTCTGCCAGAACACGTCGTCGAGGCCGAATCTGTGCAGAAATTCAAATCTTTGTTTGATGTACACTTCGCTAACATACGTTTCAGAGAACGGTTGCCACTTGACAACGTTATCACCCACTTGTGACTTACTGTGTGAACAAGCATTTTGTGTGCTACAAAAGGAGTTGCTGAACCATCTCAGGATAACCACCGGACGTGTTTATTAATTTTTTTATGTTTTTGATTATCACCCGATGGAGTTGTACAGAATTATTTTCTACTTGCTCCAAAATACAGTATTCAGTCAGACAGAAGCTGTTCCATTCCAATTTGCGATATGGTAGATATTGGTTAGCATAGTGAGGGTTCGAGACGGTTATGTTTACAACACTTAAGGTTAGTTGGATAACCTTATGGTCGATCCCAGAAAGATTACTGAAAGTTTGTATTTTTGCACTAGATATGCCAAACGTGAAATACAAGTCTACAATGTTATTGCCTCTAGTAGAAGAGCATGCTTGCTGTGTCCATCCACCAGTGACTATTGACGAAAGAAAATTCCGATAATTAGTGGGTGTCGTTCGTTCCTGCCACTGAACATCGGGCATGTTGAGGTCGTCACCTATACTATTTGAAAGAATGGCATCTTAGATGCGCATTAGAAAAATTCAGTCACTTAGTTTAATTCGGTTTTGGTAGCGCCAGGCGGCAAGTTAATGCAACCAACAAGGAAGCGACAGCACTTAAACCTAACCTGTATCCAGGCCGAGTCACCGAAGCTGCTTGACGGATCAGCCTCCAATCTACTCGCTTCTTAAAACATCATTACCGTACGCAAGGCAACCGCCACCTCGACCAGTTCGACGGCCAGTGACAAAAGTCGACAGAAGGATAATAAGGGTCGTAGGTGATGCATCTCGTTCGCCAGCGATCGAGCATTCGTTAGAAGAAGGTTATCTACACCATTTTGGAATAGAATGCTTGCTGCCTCTAACATTAGCCTGCTGGGGTTAGAATTAACTAATACTGTATTTTCTGAAGGTTGTTGAGAGACAAGGTCACTCTCAGTCTGACTGTAGACATGGTTGCCTGTATTAAAGGACCTCTGGGACCTTAAGCCACTGTATGGGGTGCGATTTACAGAGACCATGGTGCAGGCCACAGATGATGAAGCGCAGTCTGTTGGTGCTTGACTGGAGTGGGAACTGGGCTTACTATACATGAGTGAGATTTGTGGCAGTGTACACGGCTTGGAAAATCATGCGGTGCATTCTGTACCCATAATAACTGCTTAATATGCGTCGGGAGGTGGAGAGATAGGAAGGGCGACTGGTGAGGCGGCGGGTTCCCAAAAAAGACGCTTACGTATCAGCCGCATGTTTGTAATGGTTCTCCAAGGGTGGAAACACATTGCGATGATTGACTACATGACTGATTGGATACTCAAAATGTGGTACGGGTGGTGGGAGATTTCATGAGAGGGTGAATTCTTGCTACTGTAGTTACCATCATGGCAAAGATAAGCATCTGTGCCTATGGAGAACGGAAGGAGAGGAGAAGAAATGAGCGCACGATGAGTTGGGTGATGAAGTACCCCTGTACGAATTGGTAAAGCCCTTATCTTGGGAGAAGTGATCGAACCATTTGTAAAACATTTGGGTTGAGATACCCTTTGGTTTACGTCTGGCGTTTTAGTAAGATTGTTGAAGAGTGTTTTCTTTGATAACTCTGATAAAAATCATTTCTTTGCATGTTCAACAACTTTATCACAGCGCTGGACATGCAGAGATTACCGCGTGCTTGGTCATTAGTTTTACTACCTATCTGGGAAGCAAGCGGCGTGTTGTATTGTGACGCTTGTGGTCTATTTTGCACTAATTTATGCCCGACAGTGATTTTAGCGTTCTAAGGTGTGATATCCACAGGCTCATTGTCTCTATACTGTCCACCCAGTGGCTGGGGAAATTTCGTGGAGCCTGAACTGCCACTGTTAGTGGGGACAAATTTCATATGCTCCTGAGGACTATTAGGAGAAATGTCACTCAAAGGCTGAACTGGGTCAGTGTCAAACATACTGTTTATTCCTGGGGAAGCTGTTTTGGACGGACTAGATTTTGCCGATTTTATAGATGCAACACCCACGTTGGGTGACACATTGCAGTGGCTATTGTCAAGGTCCACTTCGACATCTAGGCTTACGTGGCGGTGCATATTTACAGGAGTATGTTCTTTCGGGCCTACCAGAGATCGTCTACTTCGAATCACTTCCCTCTGGAGTGGTGTCTCATCGTGTTTAAGAATTATCCTTTCGAAACCGGGTCTTGCGGCTATAAGACTTTGAGAGCGAATGATCTTTTCGGCATTTGCTTCGTCAGAGAGCTTGAACACGACCGGGCAGCAATGCTTCGTCGAGTTCTTCTTTAATCGAATGGATGTACAACGTATGGACCGTAAGTTGCTGGCTTCAAGCACGACCTTTTCTACGGTTTCGATTTTGACCTTATCAGGCACATTGAACGCGTCTACATTTTTCCGCTGGCGTGAAGGTTCACAAGCTTCTGATGCAACTTCAGAGATGAAGTATAAGTCCTTGTGCAAGTACTCTAGTTTGTGTTTATCAGGCATACTACACAAGTAGGAGAAGGGACGCAGCAGATTGCAGAAGTTGTCTATTGCCGAGAGCTTTTCATTGATGGATTTGACATCCTTTTCAATCCGAACAACTCTATTGTATACTTCTGTGGGACTGTTGGTAGTAGAAGCTAAACAATCTTTGTGAATTTTATGAGTTTCCTTAAGTTTAAAAACCCTTAAAACTTCATTATTTGGTAGCAGCGTATTTGTGGCCGAGGTTTTTATCCTGGAGGTTGTCAATACCAGGGAAGAAGAAGCAAGCTGATCTACCTCCAGAAGTTTACTAGAGCTCCTCAAACTTGGGCGGTTTGGTAACACTGAGTTGGTGGCTGAACCTTTCTTCTTAGCTGCTAGTGTTTTAGAAGTCATCGATAGAGTGGGAGATAAATGTAATCGAAAAGGAAATCGAGTCGATATAGCAAACGTAAGTAAGAGGGAAAAGGGGGAGGCCTTAATGAGTTGGACAGCTGGGAAGGAATAAGTGCGGTGAAATGAGGGAGAAAGGGAAAGTGGAGTACCACGTTTGAAGTGCGGTATGAATATACTAAGCATATGCCTATAGACTTGTAAAATTGTACGAGAAGTAGTTAAACGATCGAAACTAATCGTTTAGAAAATTCACTTTAATCTAATGCACCAAGCTATCCGAAAAAGAATCCTGAAAAAAGCAGCGGAGGCACGACCGGGCGGCGCTATTCACAGTTGAACCTCTGATCGTCGCTCTTCAGCTGATCATGCTGTCCATGATTATTGTTTTCCTTTTTCGACACAATAGGATTACCATTTCCCTTCATTTTTAGGTATGCACTTTGTTTCGGTATATATTTTCTCGAGTTTCTCCTTTCCCTCCTTTAATTTTCTGGTATCTCATCATCATCACTAAGCTGTCCCTTGAGTTTTCCTATTACTCTGCTTGTTTCCGTCATCTACATTCTGCCGATTTCGGAGGCTTTCATTCATTTATTAATACTTAACATACAAGGGTCGTAAACTACAGCTCGGCCATTATTGAGCATTTCTTAAACTTTTTGTTTGTCTTGCATGCCTTTTGCAATGCAGAATTCCTGAAGCAAAGGTGCTTCTGGAAAGTACTAAATTGTTAGAAGAAACATTAGAATGGAAGCAATCTCAGCTTCAGAATTTGGAGGTAATGGAGCTGCAAATTTCTTCCTCTTCGGATAAACAGCTTGTCTTACAGTGGCTGAATCTGGCCGGGTTCTGAAGCAAATGACTGGAAACCCCTCTGGCATCGACTTCGTGGAAGACACAGTCAACGATTTGACTGAAAGTCTTAAGCAAATGGACGATGTCAGACTCTTTGCCTTTACTTTTTAATATCTCACTTTTTGTGTAGTGGTTCGTAAAATTCCACTAGCTGTGGCACATTGCACTCATTAAATGTCAGTAGCAGTGTACTTCAGTTTTTATTATTAACTGCGCATGTAATGGATTTGTATTAGCTATCATTTGGTTGACTTCATTATCTGACTATGACTCTTGCACAGCGCAGTTGTGTAAAGTCTAGCGCCGCTTTCAATTGTGTTCTCATGTTTTCTTCAATAGCATCACAACCTAATCATTGCTGGGGGCTCCTACCTATTCCCCTCTTCTCTCCACCGAAATACTTTTAGGTCTCGTTTTTCCTTGTTGTGCGTTGCTTAGTATGGCAGTTCGCATTTTTTTTCTTTGGTCGCCGCATGAACCAAGTAATATTGATCGGTACCATCTGCTTTTGGTTATGTGTAATCAATGTTCGAGAGAACATCGGAAACGAACTACGCACCGTCAACCTTAGTGTGAAAGCAGAGTAACCAAGTTTTCTTGGTCATCGTAATGACTACCGGACCTGACTCATCTAGATCAGCACGAACTTCATCTGGTCTCACCAGCTTCACAGTTGCAAATTTCTCTTGCTATTCTGTGTTAATATTCCTGTTCTATACCCATTGACTAATTGGATGTGCTGTTTTGGGGATATTCTCTAGTCAAACCTGACCGAGTCTGTACTTTCATTTGGTGCTGTATTTTGGCTCCCTCTGCTGAGCTGTGGTTGTCGTTATTTTTCAGCTCTTTCACATCCACTGTTACTAGCTTTAACATTGCTTAAAGATTCGATAAATCGTCTACATACTCGTCACTTAGGAGTCCAGTTCGAGTACCGCTTCGTTCAAGGCGCAGTCGCAGGGGATAGCAGTCTTCTGGCTATCATCAAAACGTTTGGGCCAGAGTGCGAACTCCACAGGTAATCTCTGACAATAAATGATGCGGCATTTGTTCATCTGATTGCGGGTCCTTTATAATTACTCGTTATGTGATTAGATTGCGACGCACAATCGAGATGTGGACCGTGATTCTCACTGAAGTTAACCTTGGCAAATTCGATCATCGGAAACATACCTGCTGAAGCCGATGGATATTGGGTGTTGCCTATCCGAAAACACTGCACTCTACTACGCGTTTCATCAGGTAGAGCTAGTAGGCCTCGAACCCGAGACCTTTTGGATGTTGAGACCTTTAGCCATCTGGTCACGACGGGCAACGCTAGTCACAACGGCTTACGACTGATTAGAGGGCCATTTTGGAATTGTATGATTGTATTGCGAAGCGCAGTCATCTCTCTACCAACACCCACTTCAAATCATGCATCATATGCTCAGTAAGTTGAAAACACACCGTAGTTCTTTTCCATTTATCGTCGTTGCAAGTGATAGAAAAGCACACGCTAATTATCTTATTGCGGCACGTGACCAACCTCGATAAGATTTCATTAATATTCTAAAGTCACGCTTCCAGAGAGTTTCAATCAATGGCATTTTGTTTAGTCTCCCAAACATACTAATCTGACATGCAACTTTATCGGGTGCTGCACTTTGCTAGGAATTCTCAAGCTAACCTGAAGTTATGGAGAACTTGTTCGAAGGCTCCACCGAATCATTGCGTACCTTATTTACCTATTTGTTTACAGTAAGTGAGTTTTACTTAGGCCATGTTGGTAATGCGATCCTTTATCCAACGCCGCTCATTCGCGAAACAAGCGGTTATCTTGCGTTCGGTTTGTTGCTTTCGGATACTGGCCTTCCGGCTCAGCATGTTTGTTAGCTTAAAACACTGCATTCACTCACGTGCTCAAGCACAACCTTCTAACTTATCAATACCACTCGTATTGTTGTTTGTATTTCCATTTTGCCACTTTCTGAATGTCTGCTGGAATCAAATGAGGTCGAAACGTTTCGTGGTGTGGAGTTTGTCGGGTGGGCAGCACTCAATTCCCATCTAATTCGGCTACGGTCCAAGTGGCCACAAGGTTCACTTCAAAGTGGATCATGGTCTACATTGAGATTGCGCGTCACAATCCATTCACACAACGTGTATTACAAACTGACCCTCCATTCAACTATTATGACTGCTCGACGCACCGCACCTGACGCGCGCATCTTACCCACTCACTTCCGAATAGTTTGCAGAGATTCTATATCACTATATCTTCCATGCTTATAATTAGCTTTTGTTTCAGGTCTCCGATTTGATCTGTTCATTGCGACGAACTGCTGTTTCGGAGGCTGATGATGACGAACTTGCCTCCGAGCTAAGCAATATATTGAGGTCGTCAGATCCTGAATCTTCAGCATCCGTTACTACCCGGTCTCTTCCTGATGCTCTGGATGCCAGTCTAAATGAAACACGGCTTGATGGTTTGACGCTTCCCGAAACGATCCAGGTTTGTGAGCAATACAGCGGCAGAAAGCTGAAATCCTCTAAAGAGACAGTTGCTTTATAGTTATGTCTATTTTTAGATTTCACGTTTGCCGATCCTCTTTCATATTCGCTATGCTCTCGATTTCCAATGCTTTTTACGGCGATTGTGTAGGCTTGACAACTTGGTGACCCTATTGGTCAGCCTACGACGTATCGCCGTATGGTAAAAGTTGCCTTGTTTTCGTTGCCTTTTTCGTCCCCTTGAATGACGCATATCTTTTTGTAAGGAAGCACTCTTTATCTTTTTCTTGCAAATGTTCAACATGGATTGTTGAACTTGGATTCACCGCCACGTTGTAAATCTATCCGATCGATAAGTTCTGTTCAACTCTATTCTTGTGCTCATTGGGTTTGTTTGGAACGATGCACATCTATATGGTGATGTTCATTTTCTAATCTTATTCTGTTATCCATTCGACGCACCAGTTGTTAAGGTATTTTCTGACACCTCTTGAGTTCCTCTGCTCGGTCTTTTGAGCGTTTGCAGATAAGTTGATATTGTTCAACACACAGTCGGCAGCAAGTGAAATGCATTACAGAACATCTCTTGGGGCTTTTGCGCATTCCCAGATTTCTCCGCTATTTGGTCGGGCTAGTTTTCACATCTTTTATGGTGAGTACGCAGTTATCTTGTTTCCCATTCGATTTAATCGGTTTTCTGCTTCATATGTCTGAACCTTTGGGTTTCTCTTTCGATAATTGCCTGCACAACCCAATGACGGTAATTAAAGCATGTTCAAAATTTGTTATTTTAAATCCTTCTCTTTTATGTGTTGGACCACGGCACATGCGACTTCTGGCGGCTTTTATAACCTTTCTTGTTTGGATCATTTCTGAATGGATGTTTTGCATCCTTTTCTGGCCGGAATTGTATTTCATTTTGTTTTCGGTGTTTATTTCATCTTACCTGAGGAAGTTTTATTTTTCGGGTCAGAAGGACCAGATTTTGCAGAGTGCAAACAGCGTGTCGGTGGAAAATCGATATATTCACCTCACGATTGTCCGTCCCTTGAGTTCTCCGTTCTTTTATTAACGCATGTGGACAAAACTTTATTTCGCTTTGTTTTGTCAGCCACAAAGTTTTTTTTGAGCTCGAAAGTACCACCTGCATTTGTACGCGCAATCTACTCTAAACTATCTTGCAATTGAATTCCCAAGCTTAGGTATGCTGACTATTTTATTGTAGACGAATGGTTAGTGCCAAAATCCTTCAATGGAAACTTCATGGTCTTTATTCCGGTACTGTTTCGTTAAAGCACTTCTTGTTGTCATAATGGATCTACCAGACTGCTACTTTTACTAGACATGAGGGTGCATGTTATCTGTTTTTCATGTCGTAACGAGGACAGGGAGAATAAGTGCGAATGAAATAAGGGTTTGTTGTAAACGCTGCTTCTTTCCTCTGCTCTCTGCCACTCCCAGCCGCGTCAAGGGAAAGAACTCACACTGCTCTGCACACAAACGTTCTATTCACAAGTATGAGGTAATGTACAACTAGCTGTGTTTTTAAAAACTCACTGGCCTACTCGATCCATCGCACTGTGGCAGACGCTTCCTATATTCAGCTCCGCTTACGTCTCTATTACCTCCCACTTCAGATTGATTGCTGCTACCTATTTTCCGCACTTGGGCTTGACCATAGCTTTTTACCCTGGGGTTCACTTGTAGCCATCACGGTTGCCTTCGACTTGGCCTGCATGACAGGTCGTGTGGCTCCCGAGCGACCGGTTGTGTTTCGCTTTGGGGATCAACCTGTAGCCATGGTGGTCGTCTCCGCTTTCGGGTCGGTCTGCGTTGTGCGTCATCTGCTACTTGCATCTTATGTTGTGATCCACGTACCCTCTCAGCTTCGTCTTCCAAACACAACATGTCTAGCAGGATGTCCCATGGTAGGGATGGCGGTTCTGGGAACTTTGAGTCTTGCTGTTATTCGGCCTCAACTGATTCGTGTGCCTGGCCCATTTCTACTTTCCTGCCATTAGCTCGTAGATGACCCGACCGTTTCTGTGGATCACTATTCCTTTCGACCATCTCCTCGGTCCTCGGAAGTCTCATGCGTACACCATGTTCCCAATTTTGAAGTGACGCACGCTGTCTGTCCGCTTTTCCCCCGCATGATAACTGCAATGCTTTTCTTTCCTGCTTGGCACATGTCGTTTTGCTCTGGATACTGGTTTAGTGACTGATTTAAGGTGCAGGGCAACAGTGATGATTCTACAACATTCCGCACCAGGTTGGAGTATTGCTTCGTAGCTTCTATTCATATGCGTAATTTGACTGCCTTTGATTTCTACCGTGGTATCCTCAAGTCTGATGCGCATTTCTGGTTTTGAAGTGGCAGTGTGGCAGAAGTGTTGCTCTTTCCTGGCTTCCGAATTTGTAACCACATTTGTACCAGGATTCAAGTTGAGCAATCTGGCATTCTAAAACAATTTCTTGCGATGTCAGTTTCAGTTCCGGTCCCCACTCTACTTGAATGTTCAATTTGTGTGATAGTAACGATCAAATGGGTCTGGGACTTTTCGAATTACGACAGCTGCTGCTGCAAAAGTGCCTACAGTTGTTCAAAATGGACTGACATCTTTGGGTTCTTCTGACTCCTGTCGCCTCTGCTGTGAACGCTTCTTCTTACCTCTGCCGCTCCCAGCCGCATCAACGGAAAGAACTTGTACTGACCTGGAGATTCCCCTGTTTGGCTGCCGCATGCTGTGTAAAATATTACAAAATCACAAAATTATATTTTCTCGATGTACATAGCAAAATAGCCGCTCGCCTGTTTGAACGTTGCTCGCGTTTGTTTAAGTCAACATAGCATCCACCTTCGAACGGCGCGACGCTCATCGGCTCCGCGGCCATCTTTGCTCTCCGCGCACGCGACCACACCTTTCCCATAGCTTGCAATCTTCCGGTGCCTTATTTTTAGCACTAGATAGCGTTTCGCCCCACTTAATAAATTTTTCCTAGCGATACTTTTGGTGTTCTACACTCATCGGAGGTTGGCCTTATATTCGCGTATTGGTTCTAAAGCGTACCGATCCTGCTTCTCGCTTTAAACTCACAATACTCTGCGCACAACCGTTCTATTCACAAGTAATGTACAACTAGCTGTATTTTTAAAACTCACTGGCCTACTCGATCGATCGATTGCACTGAGACAGATGCTTCCCATACTCTGCTCCGCTTATACCTCTTTTCGGGTTAAATGGCAGACGTGAACAACCAAGCCATTTGCGGTACTAGAAATTCGGGTTCTGTTGCATGCCCTCGAGTTGCTCCAAGCCACTAATTGTCAGTCGTAGCCACTGGGATTGAAGGTGAGTTATCCATTCGTCCCCACGATAGATAAGAATACAATGAACTTGCTGATGCCTCTTTAGAAAACGGAATTCAAATAGAATAGAAGATTGCGATACGTACTCAATTCGCTTCTGCTCTTTTATGGCGTGGACGCGATTGTCCTTTCTAGCGTAGCTAACCAAGACGCAATAGCATCGAAAAATTACTTTTATGAGAACCAAGTTGCTTTTTCATTTTTAACTCTCGTTTGGAAGCAATAATTCTAAGCTTGAGAGTGGTCAGTTGCAAGTAAATTGATATACGGAAATGATTATAGTTGAGGACCCCTGTTACTAAAGTTACAAACCCAACCCATCTCTCCTATTCCTTCTTACCCATGCGAAACTGCAAGTTGTTTTGTCCCTATAAAATCTGGAAAAGAGAAACTAACGGTGACTATTGTTGGGAGAGCAATGCAGTGCAGACGAGTTTTGTATTAGAGAACCAACGTCTAGATATTATAACTGTCCGAAGCAGAAACTCGGATCCATATGCGCACTTCCTTCGTAGTACTTTTCAGACTCTCCATTACGCTGCGTTCCTTCACCCACCTCATACGGTGGAAGTAGATTTGTGCACCACACGTTCTTCGTCGTCGGCGATCCACGATTTCTCTTATTTCTTTGTGCCTCGTTCCACACACTCGCAAGTGGTGCACCACACTCCTTCCCCCAAATTTTCCGCTCAGTCGACCTCCCACGCAGTCTCTGACCTTCGATTCTGTTCCATGTATACCGTGGTTTCTTCTCCTCGTTCGTACCAATTCCTCAATTCGCTATCATGAGCTCGCCGTCTGTCGAGCGATGGTGTATTCAGACCCTCGTCGAACGATTACGTCATACGGTCTCTTTTACTTCGACACGAGTTTCCTCTCCCCAGGGCCTTATGCATTCGCACGTTGGTGATCTTTGTACTTCACCTTCGAACCGATTAGAAAGTCTCCGGACGACTTCCACATATTGACTCGTGCTTTTTCTATCATTCGGTCCTAAGTTGCCCTCAAGTCCCGGTTCACCACCTTTCGTTCCTTGCTTGCCTTGGCGGTAGCTGGCAGGTCGACCAAACTCCTACCTCCAGATCCACAAGAAGTCGAGGATCGTAGTCGTACATTAACAGGAATCGGGATCTCTTGGATGCGCGGTGAACTAACAGTAGTGGCGCTAAAGCTTCTTCCCAATCTCCCCCTTCGCCACCAGTCATTCATTATTCGTTCTATTATCCTTGTCTAGGGATGGTTGGGAGTGCCTCGTATCTTCTTTATGTCCAGTTTCTCCAAACATGTTCGGAATTCGTCACTAGCAAAGCATGGGCTCTGGTCTGTTTGTATGGCCTTCAGGATCCCGTGTCGCGCTATCACATGCGATCCTGTTGATCCGGAGTTGCCGCTGCCTCAATCCATCGGATGAAGTGCTCGGACATCCCGATTATACGCAACTTGTCCCCTCTTGTTAACGGGAACGATCCCATCACGTTGATTGATCACAACTCACTAATCTCGGGCACTGGAATCTAGAGCGTGGGTTGTGGTGCTTCTCGATTGTCTCCTTTCAAGAGATGACACGAGAGCACGTATGAATTGACGTCTTTTTTCATGTCAGCTCAGTAAGTTCGCTGTCTAGGCAATTTCTATGTCTTGGTGCACCCGATTGGGCCATCTCGTAACAAGAGATTAGCAACATTTTCCACAATTTCGGGGGATCACCGGCACCGGGGTAGCATCTCGCCCTTGTGTCCACATCAGAATTCCGGTTACGTTGACATGCAGCTTTTCCAGTTTTCGCACGAACTGCCCTAATTGTTGGCTTTTGCTTGCAGCACCTTCATTCATTCG